TAATTCAAACGTTGGTCAGAGTTGGTCAAAATGGAACTGATATTTGCTTAAAATTGAAGGTAGAACTCGGAAAAATTTGATCAAAGTTTGGGATAATTAAACGGTGGTTGAAGTTGCCCAAAGTTATGAAATGATTTGCAATTTTAACCATTTTAAAGCTTTTGTTATATTTGCGGTGAAAAAATTGAAAGCCTTGCTTATCTTGGTCGAAAAATTTGCTTATGTTAGTCCGGAAAAATGTTTTTGACCTCCCCCCCCCCCCATCGACAACATTTTTGGGGAAAATTTGTACAACTTGATCAAAACCCTAGGAAATGTTGGTCAAAACATGACCACAACCCCCCCCCCCAATGAATAATGGCTTCGCGACGTCCCTGTGTCCGGCAGGTCAATAATTACATCTTTCCATGGGTTAGTAAATGCGATTTGTAGGTGTTCAGCAACTTCAACCAGGACTTCCTCAGATGGGATTTGTAAGGAGTTATATTTTGTCTCTGCACCCAACAGAGTATAAACAATTTTATTCCGTTTTGCGGGTCCTTATTTGGGGATCTCTCTCTTCAGTATGATAGAAACATTCTTTTACATTTTGAATTAGCTTTGAATCTTTGATACCTTTTTACATATAAAATTTGTCATACTTAACTTGATCACTTTGAGAGAAAGCCTTTTGTCTTACTTTGATCTGTATCTTAATTCTGGGGTAATCCAAGGTTTATCTGAGGTATTGTAATTTTTGAATTGGCATAACCTTGTCTAACAGGGAGAGTACCGTTCCGTTAAATATCTCCACTTTGTCGTCCACATCTGTCGCCATCATAACATTGTCACAATTTTTAAGGACAACAATTCTATTCGATGTTTGTTTGCTTCCAGGGTTATGCAGTCTGACTATTTTAGAAATAGGAGGGGGTTTGCTGGCAATTTTGGGATATAACCACAGACATTGATGGTCAGAACGACCCAAGGGAGGGATGCGTTCAGCAGGTGAGTAGAGGTCAGCCATGTTCGTCAAAATCTGGTCTAAGATGTTATTAGCGAACTTAAGCAAAGCTTAATCTAATACGGGGACGTGTCACGAAACCTCCTTAAATTTTACACTTTTATAATTATAGTACCGTTATTAAGAACTTCAACAAAGCAGAACGAAAGTGCAACGAGAACAGCTAAAATATTATATTAATGCAAGAAAATGAGCAGAAATTGACAATCAAAATCCACGGACGTTTTAGACGTCACCGTAGCAATGTTTTACAACGGCGAAATACAGATTATCACGTCCTGCATACATTGCTTACATTTCAAGCTGGGACAAGAGCTATTTTAAATTAGGTCTTGGAACTTTCTCAATCATAAACCCAGTGTTAATTTTGATCATTAAAATGTATTATTTTCATATGATGGATAATAAACGACAGGTTTTCTTCTGCAATCATTTGGTTCAACGAGTTTTTTTGCCGTCGCCGTTGCGTTCCCGTCCTACGTTCTTAAGGTGGCTATATTATCTCTTGTAGGGGACGAGACCATTTTTCAAGGTTGAATCACTTACATACTGCAGGCGTCTTAGGTTTAATTTATTGAAGTCCGCAGCAATAATTATTCCTGTCGAAGGACGAGAAGGAAGGACATTATCCAGACCATCTGTAAGGCGTAGCTTATCATTTCATGTTCTTTTTCAGTTTGTCATTTCATGTTCTTTTGCCCCAGTGGATAGTAAACGGTAACCACATGATGGCAATTTTAGGGTTTCGGGTTAAGTTGCCAGGTACTGTAAGGAGCAGCCGTAGCACCTTTTTCCCTGCTTCTTAATTCAAGGATTGACAGGCGAGATACTGGTACCAACATATGAATGTATGCTGTAACCATTCCATCCCAGGAGTTGGTCGAAAAAGACGAAAAATAGAATAATTGTTGCCAATATTTATAGCGCTGTTCGGAATATCGCCTGTTAGCCATGATTCTACGATCAAATTTACTGTACTTGGTTTGTTAGTGGATATGACAGCAGATAGTTCAGTCGGCTTATTTCTGATGTGACAAACATTTGAACGATTTGATACGAAGAGGGAATGGAGAGGGCATTTCCCCTCTTAGTGCGTATACGCGTCAAATGCGATTACCCTACCAAGCGGGTCAGGTTTTATTCTCCATTTTTATACCATAACACACAAAGTAAAAGACAAAAGCATCGAAATGCAGCAAGCAAAGGTCCAAGGCATATCATTATACAACTTGCCGCTAAAACTTCGCGTTTATAGTCGCCATGCATTTTCAAATACAACTGGCTTAGCGAATAAGTAGGGTTACCCTACGAATAAGTAGGGTTACCCTACCTTATCTCATGTAAGAACTCGCTATTTTTTACTCTCTTGGCAGAATAATACTAGTGGCAGGGTTTCCCTACCTCCATGTAAACAAGCCCTAATTGAATCATTCATCACACGACGAATTATTCACGTCAAGCTCACCTGTTGTCACCTTTGTATAGGTTACCACATGATGGTTGTGCGATTTTTTACCCGAGAACTCCTTCACGTCCTACCAATTGGAGTACAAATTGTAATCAAATGTTACACTGAACAAAACACACCGGGACTTTTTTATCAGGGATGTAATAGCAAAGTACACCTACTGCCCCAGTTGCAACAAGACCGGAGGTTTTCCTCGCTGGGAAGACGGCGGCTTCTTTTGAACTCAAACAAGCTGGAAGAACGTCATCAGATGTACCAGAACGGAAATATACTCCATCAGCTTTCCACGCGAATGGCGTATCATTACCAATACCAATTGCAATCTTTCTCTCAGTATTACCAAGGGTGTCTAGTACTTTCATCAAGACATTAAAGGGATATGGCAATATATTTTTTTATTATTTCATTTTAAAGAACTTTTAAAATTATATGTTAATCTCCTTTACCGATTTTGAGTAACTTTATTATTTCTTGAAATATTTTGACTTAAAATAATTTGCTGTCCGCCATCTAGGATTAATTTTTATCTCATTATCGGTGATTTTACTGACGTCATAAGCCGGGTTAGCCATATAAAACTACATCTAAATGACCAAATAACATTAAGTCTTGTTTGAAAAGTCGTCAGACAGTTTTTATTTCAAATAGTTACTGAAGTATATGATTTTGGGCTCATAATAACCAACAACCTCGTTCCCAGGCTCTTTGCTCTTGGGAAGCAAAGACCCTGGTCGGGCCTGATGACGTCACACATAGAAAATTGATAGCCGAAGGGGGGATGGAAAAGTCTCATATTACATGTTTCCACTTCCGCACTTCGCACTTCGATTGCAAGGAGTGGCCGTTCTGTACAATCATCTAATTCATCTTCGAGAATCATATATACCTCAAACTACTTGCTAAATTGGTTTCTGTTTGCTTTTAAATTATACAAACATGCTAAAATGCAGATTCTTACAGCAACAGAAAATTCAGGAAATCAAGCACTCGAGAACGTATGACTGTACGCTTTGAAATATTTTTATTTTCTCGGAGTTCGCCGGTTCGGGCGTAGTTTCATTTCACGCGTACGTTTCTGTTCTGGCTCTGATGATATTTATAATATGCTTATAATATGCCAGTGAATTTTTCTGATATGGACACGGTATAAATTTTTTAAACAGATGTCTCAAAAGCGACTGTTTATAGATCGTTGGATTAGCGCCTGGTCTTAAACGTGACACATTTGGACACAAGCCAAATACACATTGAATGTCCATTTTATTTATTCTAAAACTGTTTATAGACATATTGCTCTAGATTTTTTTTAAAAGGTTATCATCGTTTATGTTAAACACTAGGAAGACAAAATATAACGTACAAAATTGTTTGAAATCGACAGTGCACAGCTGACATACGACAATTCACAACTGCATGAATTTCCTTTTTTGTCGATCTGCATGAGTGCTTGTTTGTTGAAGCCAAAATATTGCGCAGCATCTCCTATAAATTCTATCGCCATTTACCCTCTCCCCTTAAATGCAAAGGAATGACAGCAGAAAAGGTTTAGCAAAGTATTTTTTATTACATCTGGTATAAAGTGTCCTACGTTTTATCAGGATATACATAATTCATAAACTGTATATGCGCACGAAGTCTCGCTTATATTAATGAGTTTTACTGTAACAAACCTTTTAAAGTTTCCATTGATAGATAGGTTGTTTGCCTCCAGTATTGTTTGGTAAAACAGACTAAACTTCTAAAATATTGGTTACGGAATACGATAAATATTAAAGTTGATTTAAATATTGATAACTCACAGCGGCATTAATCCATTATACAAGTCTAAAGATGCTGGATTATTCTTCAATAAAGCCCTCAATGGACAATGCCAATGTCAATGAAAGGTCTAATATTATACATGTTGCAGATTACTGTATACACAAAATATGAAATAATTTATATAAAGTACAATACCAGTGTCTGGTGCATATATCGTCGTAGATATTCAAGATGTACCGCACGCATGGAAACGCACGGAGGAGTCTTGGCGTTTGTGTGATAACAGATAGCTAGCTACACTTCGACATTATCTTTCTTGATCGTTGAGTTTCAGCAATGTAAATGAAATGAATCCTGTGCTTTTACAGTCAAAATAGCACTATTGTTTACACATGTTGGCGATGTTAAGGAAATCAAAGGATCCCGTTATGAAATAAATCTTTTGTTTTGAATATCGGACAGGATACACTTCAACTATAAAGAACCATATCGTTCGTTTAATACCGTTTGATCGATCAGTCTGTGTAGAAGATATGTATGTTTCTACAGCGATACGTGCTAAACTTCGCAAGCCAGGCGCGTGTGGAGTGTTTTCCTTGCAAGTGAAATATGATCCAGCTTCTCGCTTGAAATGTAACGCAACACTTATTATTGATGACATTCAGTATAGCAGGAAGTCTTGTCATGATCAGTACGAATCTAGAACGTTCCTTTCACAATCTCTTGTTGCAAATTACATTTTTATCACCCGAAATTATAACACATAAAGTTGCAATTTTCAAAACGCAACAAACACGCTCCTCTACCTCCCGACCCATAGTCATATTATACGTTTACCCCCAGAATCTGGGTGTGACGTCATCAGCCCCGACCAGGGTCTTTGCTTCCCAAGAGAAAAGAGCCTGGGAACAAGGTTGAAAGTGTAGATCTAAGATATTTGCGGGTTCTTTTCAACCGTAGTCAAGTTAAAATTATATCTACAATCGGCTTAAAAATTTTGAGCATTTATTTAAATTAACAGAAGGTAAAACAAGGTTAAGAATAAAGTGAGTTAAGAATTGAATATTTAAGCAAGATGCTGAATGATATACCAGCATTCCAAGTGATACACAATATATATAATATGCCATTTGTTTTATTTTTTTATCCTAACCGCAAGACGCGATAAATTCGAATTCCATAATATCCTTAATTTATATATATATATAATATTCTAATTCTATTTTAATTTTAATTTTAGTATTGTAATTTTGCAATTATAATACTTTAAAATCTTTTAATATAATCCTAAAAATGTAATGGAACAATTAATATTTTATCAGTTTAGCACTATACAAGTTTAGATAAACAACTATATAGGCACGAATGCATGCATTATAAATTACTTGCTCTGATTGGCGACAGGTGTGCGTTTCGCAATTCGCTCTTGGGCAGTTTTCGCAACAAACTCAAAGAAATCCTTAATTCTCGTTATATTTTTTGGCAGTCATGATCGTCAACTTCATTAAAAGCCAACTATTCTGGACGGTGTTGCTATACTACATCTCTATAGTCCTTGGTGAAGCCTTAACGGAAGAACGAAATCCACAGGAACAGCAATTCTTTCGAATCACACTAGGTGCGTATCATTTCACAAGGAGATTGGAACTTAAATGCTTAATGATCTTTTTGCGATATACATTTGCAAATTCAGAATCGATCACCAAACCACTTGAAAGTTATATTAAGTAAACCTGGCACGTTCACACCAAATTTATAGATTGTTAGTATTTTATTACTTGTCCTCAGTGCGGTGTATAGGATTACTAAATGTTAGTTCCATATAAAGTTAATGTTGCAAAATTCCCTGACTATTTTTAACTAAAACATTTGAGTCAAAATATTCTAAGCAAAATAATGCCTTAAAATGTTTAAAAAATTATCAAATTAATGAGAAAATTTACTGAAAAACAATCTGTTTTTGAGTTATTAGAATTTGAGTCGTTATTGTGTGCATGAATTCCCTGAAGTTTTTGAGCGGAAATACTCAATGACACTTTACATTGAAGACTGATTAAGTATACATGCAGTAAATAGGCTACTACAAGTAATTTGCTCAAAAATATTTTGTGGATATCCCAAAAATAAGTATCGACCCCCAGTTTAGAATATCAGCAAGCGACCGGGTCTCATGTGAACATGACCAGTTGCGTTCTAATTTCATCATAGCAGTATAATTATGACATGAACATTTTCAGGTGTTCGATCTCAGCGCGAAGCGTACGTCAGCTTAAGATCGAAGACAGCATTGGATTGTGTCTTGTTTTGCCTCAGAGAAAAATTGACTTGCACATCTCTCAATTATGCTGAATCTACTACGGTCAATAATGGCAAGGATAATTGTCAATTACACAATGAAACCAAGAATGATGATGAAAATTCATTAAAGTTCCTGAAAGATGATAGATACACTTTTTATCGGATACCCGCCAGAGTATCACATGAATCAGAAAATGTAACTGAACAGGTATACCCATCCTGGTTTTGAACTGACATACAGTAATTTTTTCCTCGTATTTAGGGAATGCATGTTTGTAACTATATAGCAGCCGGATTCGATTCTTGCCTTTTGCCTGGCGCAAGAAAGAAGATGGTCTCCATTGATGAACACTTATATCTATATCTTGTTTTACATAACCAAAAAAGTTTTACATATTACAGTGCGTCTACAGTAAGTGGAGCCGCTTAGAGAACACTAACCAATCACATTGCATGAGAAAAATAGAAAATCAACAAACGGCGCATTAGCCAATCAGCATTAGGCCAAAAACAATTGTCAAACGGTAAAAATAGACTTGAAAAATAAACACTGCAGTTACTGGCTTCCTGAAGCGAACTCCATGCTTTCTTTTGATTGGACGAGCTGTAGTTTGATTAGATTTCTACTTTTGTTCTGCAATGTGATTGGTTAGTGTTATCTAAGTGGCGTTAGTGGCCCCACTTACAGTAGAGGCACTGTAACTGAATTCGACAACTGCATATCATTATACACTTAATGTCCGCTTCTGAGGGAAATATTCCCGGGAGTCTCAACTATTTCCCGACGCAACAGGCATTAACATTTGTGTTTTGTATGTAGCGATAAAAGAAAAAAATAAAATTCATATAGCAATTGTATTTCACGACAACTCTATAGTCCAAACGAGTTTAAAGTTCCACTAAAACGATTATAGCTGCATATCCTGTTGCCCGTTATGCATTTTGCTGTCTTTGACATTCTTAATTCTAACACAAACTTAGAAAGTCTAGATAATCGTAGTTTAAAACTTACGATTTGTGCCGCAATTTTATTTCGTTTTAGGCAAACACAACTGCTTCAAATTATCTTGACCATTTCAACGACGGTAATAAAACATCAGGTAATTACACCATCTTGGATCAAGCACAAAACCTTCGCACAGTGTATTGTGATATGGAATCTGAACCAGGATCCATTTGGACTCTTATCATGTCATTTGCGAGAGAAAACAAAGATTTGAGTGCATTCAAATCCATAGAAATGTCTGCACCTTCCCCCCGAAACAAAAACGCTCCGAATTGGTCTGACTACCGAATGGGCAAGCGTCTAATAGTTCATGTAAACTCCAAAGCAACTCATTGGCGAGTTACATGCAGTTTTCAGCAATCTGGAGTCGACATCAAGACTGACTACGTCCGAGCTGCGTTTGCTGATTTTGATTTCATGGGTAAATTTTGGGATGGGTGCAAAAACGTGAGTTACATAAGTGTCATGGGACAATTTTGTTCACACTGTACCGCATACTGGCGGCAGGGTGATAACTTTACCCTGACTATCCCCGCAGTTAGTCCAGACCCTTTTTGCGACATAAAAAGCGATGAGAGTGAAAACTTCTATTTTGGTGCGTACCACACTTACGATCCCGCATTTCGTTGTACAGAATCTCCAAATTCAACAACGAATTACTGGTTCGGTTCTTATGCTTGATATGACGTCACAGCATGAGGCTCAGCCTCAACAAGATACAAAGTTGTTGAACACTATGGAACTCTTGGTCAAGAAAACAAAATCTAAGTGCTTTGATGAAATAACAATCTATATATCAATTAAAATACCAATAATAATTCATAAACCTTGTGGCAAATCATGTCAGCCATAATATGGCACGTGGAGTGACTTTAAATCTGATAAAGCTCATCTTCATTAGTATTCCTTATATAATTGTTCATCCTAATTAGTATGATCATATAAATGTTCATTCTAGTTAGTATTCTTTTGTACTCGTTGTCATGTTTTATCAGATATAAAACGCACGGCTGCACCTCGCGTTTTATATCTGATAAAACACTCTTACTCGTGTTTTAAATAGTACGTAATATTTAGTGTTTATTTTATGAATATAATTTGCATAAATAATTTACTTCCGTCTGACTTTCAGCCATTTTTTTGTGAAAGGCAATTGTTACTGTTCAGAGCAGTGCAAGCAATAACTAATGCCCCAGAGTTACTGTTGAGGGAGCCAACGAAAATGCTCAAAGGCCATTTTTCAATAATAAATTTATATACTAATGCCGCATAGTACTCTAGAAATGCATCTCCGGGCAAAACAAATAGAACTTAATAGTCGAAAGTCGAATAAACACTTTAAAAAATGTGGAGTTAAATAAATATTGTTTTCATTGTTTTTATAATGTTTGATTGGCCGCAAAAAGTGCCCCTAGAGCCACCACTGCATGTGCAATTTTCGATTACGTAACCTTCAGAGCATAACGCTCGTCTCCAGTGCACTCATCAACTTCGGAATGGCTAATATGCTGTGAATTTCCTATTTATTGGCGAAAGCATTGAAAAAACGCGAAGCAACAGCATTGGAAAGACGCAAACGCAAAAGCATTGGAAAAACGGAATTTATGGCAGCTATCTATTTCTCTATCCCTTTCCCTCTATCCCTCTCCCCCTCTACTTTATCGACAGTTACTTTTGGTTCATTTTCTTGCATAATACTACTTCTTGCACATATAGGCTGTAATTATTCTCAATCATTTTCACAAAAAAGGCAACACATCGACGTCGCTCCTTGTTGCTTCCATTTTGAGTTTTTGATAACCTTCGGAAAACTTCACATTACGCTCGCAAGGCAAATTTCAGTAAATTTGACGCATGCACAGACGTTTTTCCGCGGTATTGTTCAATAAACTATTTTCACTTTGCATAACATTATGAGCTCTACGAATAGTATACTATTTTGCAGCATTCACCTGTTTTCTCAGTTAAATTAAAGCATGGATCTGATGAAAATAATTAACCACACCAAGCCCACCAGAAGTCACAAGCTCCTCTATGCAACTTAACCTATTCATTTGCTGTTCTGTAATCTCCCTATCGCTTCCCCCCTTGGAGTCTACTACTATTAACCTCCCAACACTCATTCCTTCAATACTTATTTTAATGTACGTGAATATTCAATCTCAATTCCCAATACAAAACGCAAACATGACGTTTTGGCCAAGAAAATTTTCCAATAAAATCATGATCAACAGGTTGATAATAAGCACAACTGGCTCTTGGTTAGCACCCCGCTAGTCAACACATAACGTTCTCTTCTGCATATTCTGAGCAGGAAAAGCAGTCACAAAATGACGCATTTGGTAAAGTTCCTCCCAAGAAGTTGTAGCCACATGAGACGTAGTTTCTGACAAACGGGACGATGTTCCTGATGCATATGGATTAAGTACTTTAGCCAGTTGAAGATAGTGCATTGCCGAGTGATGCCTTGTCCAGCCAACATGCCTTTAAAAGAACCGTGATAATGTTGAAAGTGCGAAAAAATTGATACTTTATTCCGTATTCTCTCTCGTTGTATCGGCGTCTTCGAGCCAGACGTCTTTATCACTGCTTCTCAGCTTCACTCTTGAGACATAAATATGCAACTCTCCAGCGCAAAACGACTTAGGATCACGAAAGACCAGGTCGTGAATATTTTCCAGACGCTCTCCCCATAGAATGAGGAAACCGCTGCATTTAAAGTGGCATTCGGCAAATCGCGATTATTATTTACCACGGGACGAATTTTGTTGCCTCCTCTAACCTCGCTACGGCGAAATCACCCTAGCTGACGAGGTTGCCTCCGTCCCCCAATAAGGGAGTGGTGTCCAGCAAGCAACAGCGTATACACACATCAGTATCCACAACACACATGCTCCCAATTACTATTAGACTTGGATCAAGTCCGTGTCTCTAGATAGATAGATAGATAGATAGATAGATAGATAGATAGATAGATAGATAGATAGATAGATAGATAGATAGATAGATAGATAGATAGATAGATAGATAGATAGATAGATAGATAGATAGATAGATAGATAGACAGACAGACAGACAGACAGACAGACAGACAGACAGACAGACAGACAGACAGACAGACAGACAGACAGACAGATAGACAGATAGATAGATAGATAGACAGATAGATAGATAGATAGATAGATAGATAGATAGATAGATAGATAGATAGATAGATGGATAGATAGATAGCTATAGATTAATAAAACATTTACATTGCAACCAAAAGCTGAATTACGTAAAATTTACAAAGTACGAATTATTATTTAATTACTATTATAATTATTAAGTTAAAATTATGCAAATATTTAAAATTTTACTGGGATGATAATAAAAAAGATACCACTAACGTTACGAAAACATCTTCGATGCCATCGCAAATATAAAAGAGTTTTTAGCACGATTAGTATTAAAATGAGGAATGTCAAATTCATGACCATTTCTAAGCTCGTGGTGTCAGTTATGTTTCTGTGGGAGGAGGTCATAAAGTTTGTGGTTTGAATCCTTTGTAACATTAACAAACAAGTTTAGCATTAGAAATTATGGTGTTCTTCTATTGGTTTGATGTTCAAAATTTCTCCTGTTGCAGAGTAGCCTATTCCTGGATTTATTATTGAAATAGTCCTTTTTTCCAGTCGAATCAATTCGTTCTTTAAATATTGTGGAAGGGAGTGATAAAAGGCTGGTACTGCGTAATCCATGACAGATCTAACGCAAGACGTATAGAATAACACAAGATCTTTAGCTGGTAACCTACAATCCTAGACAAATAACACGCGGACGCTGATTAAAAGTGGCTGAAGTTTAAGTCAATCAAATATTTATACGCATATCCAGCCGTATTCCCCGCTCCCCCGTTACAATGTTGCTGGTACAAATACCGCAATACTTGCCATGATGACTGAAGTGTTCATCAACATTGTTTCAGGGGAGGGGGGACCAACTTTACGAAGTATATATGAAAATGTTGCAAACAAAATTTATTTGCCATGTTTGTCCGAGTAAATTTGTCTATGATTGTAGCTCTTTTTAATTGAACCAGATAATATAGTCTCTTACTGGCTTTTTTGACGACCTCTTTTATATGGGCATGCCAAGATAGGTTGTTACTTATTGTTACTCCCAATAATTTAGCACTTTCGACTATTTCGACTTCTTTACCATTAAGTATGACTTGATCTAGAACAACTGGGTCCTTACTAAAGGAAATTCTCAATTCTTTACATTTGTCTGGATGTAGCTTTAATTTAATCTATTTTCTTCTGACCATTGCTTAATATGATCTGCTATGTTTTGGGCTGTACTAACGTTGCCTTTGGGAAGAATTTCCGATGCTGTGGTTATGGGCGTACCGGAAGGAAAAATTTAGGGGGGCGGAAACAAATTTGCCCGACTTTTCCGGATTTTGCCCGACACGTACCGAAAATTTTTTTCCGGAATTTGTTTTGTCAACCTCCCCCGCCCCTCCCGTCGCCAAAAAAATTTCGGTCAGTGTACCATATAAGAGGTCAAAAATTTTTCCACAAAAATTCATCCACGAACTTCCACAGATATGGGGAATTAATATTCAGGTCTTGGATCATTAAAATAAATAACCATGGACTTAGCTTTGTACCTTGCGGTACACCAGACGGAACATGGCCCCACTCAGAAAAACAGCTATCGGCCAATTTGACTCTCTGCGTTCTATGAGAAAGAAAATCTATTATCCAGTTAATTATACTTCTAGGTATGTTCAAATTACCCAGTTTCTTTACAAGAATTGTATGGTCGATAAAATCGAATGCCTTGCGATAATCAAACAATATTGTCCTTATCGTTGCCCCATTCCCGTCAGTGTTTATAAACCAGTGATGCAGCATACTAATTAACGCCATAGTGGTTGACGAGTTTGGAATCGCTCCATATTGACTAGCATCGATTATGTGTAGAATTGCCGGTTTAACAAAATCCTCAACAATGAATTCCTCTGCCACTTTAGAGATGCAGGGGGTCAGGGAAATAGACCTGAGATCTTTTTCCAATATAGTCACTGGGTTTTTTTGGGTAACGGCGAAATATTTGCTTTCTTCCAGATGGTAGGCAACTGCTGTTCGTAATAGGAAGCATTGATAATTTTCTTGACAGGAAGGGCCAAAAGATAAGAATATTTTTAAAAATCCAGTTTGATAGATTGTCTGGTCCAGGCGCCTTGTGAAGATTTAATTTTGCTAGAACTTTTTGAACACGTTCTTCAGTAACTTCCAAAAATTTTGGCGGGTCTTCTAACGGAAGGCGTTCGAGGGGTTCTGATATTCTGTATTCAGCCAAGGGTGCAAGAAAGGCAGTGTTAATGATGTTAGCTTGTTCATGTGGAGGGAGGTTCGTAAATCTTTCAACATTGATTTGATGGAATAAATTTGTGCCTCCCGACTTTATTCCACTTAACCGCTTAATCTCATTCCACCACTTCCTTGGGGCTTCTCCTTTAAGTTGTTTAATGTTGGATTCGTAGTATCTTGCCCTGCACACTTTTCTTTCTCTGTTGACACAATTTCGGTAATATTTAAATTGGTGGGAATGTACACCATGCGCATTGAAAGCTTTTTGTCTATTAAAGATTAGGGATTTAAGCTTCTGGAGCCGGTTGTACGAAATGTGGA